AATATTGCCGGAATAGTTATAATTTATGAGAGACAAGAGTAATGAAGTGGGGAAAATCATACAAATTGTAAAAAAAGGAGTTTATACGTATTATAAGAAGATTAACTTACCAATACGAAACAAATTTTATTTTAAATAAAATGAGCCTCACAAATGATACCCAATAATTATTCTGTGCGAAAATATTAACATGGCCTGCCAAATTCCCTTGACCACTATTATTTTAAACACCACTGTACTATAACGTAGTGGAGCATATGTCATTAATGGATAAGAAAGCAGCAACAGATCAAAAGATACCGAAAATGGCATGAATAAATGTGAATTATTGAAGCCCAAGAAAGGAAATTCAAAGATAAAAATATTAACTTGTATAAAATAAACTAAGAACATCTTCAGATCAATCTTTTCCCTCTTTGGCAGAACACATGCTGTTAGATGTAATATATTTACCCTCCCTCTTTTAAAGTTACATTTTTTACGTTTTGAGAATATACTCATGTCCCTCTTTTGGCCTGTTTATGTGTGGAAATTAATGAGCTCTTTGTGGGGCTTAAAATAATATAATAGCTACAATATAACAAACACCAACAAACTTTGTGTATGAAAAAATGCAGGAAAAGGGACAAGGAAAAACACAAACAGATGCTTTGGCAAAAAAGGGTTTTTGAAAAGGACAAGACAAAGCAACAGCCCACACACACACATTCGAGGCGGCCGCAAAAAGGGACAGACACATGTCGTATACGTCATATGCGCTAATCAGCGACCCGAACCCGAACTCAACCCGGATAGGCAGCCGGATGCGGATCAGGACTCATCCGTATAGCCATTTTCACATCCTTCATTGGAGCCGACTGCAGCGTCTTTGGGACTCCGGCTAAGCCCCATTCGCATTGTTGCCATATCAAGGCACAGTGGGGTTGATTAGAGATAAAATATTACCAGTCTGAAGACGTTAAAATACGCGTAGTCAAGGGAGCGTTTTTGAAAAATTAGCCAACTCACTAGGTATTAAATATTTTGCAATGAACTAGAATTTAGTTTTCATGTGTGAATAAGTAAACTGCTTTAAAAGGAAAACCCTTTACACCTTTAAAATATTCAAATGCATGCTGAGAATTGAAACATTATCTGAACTGAAAAGATCATTCGAATTCAAAATATATTCTCACATTTTTTAGACAATTTTCGAAATTTCGAAATCGTGCTGAAACTTAAAAAATACTGTGGGCCCACAATTTTGCAAATTGAAACGCTGTTTTCTGTCCATACTAGAGGTGGAGAAAATATCGATGTGAAAATGGATAGGTCGATGTTTTATCATATTTTACAAACATTTCCTCGAACAATTAGTCTGAAGACGCAATTAAAATAGAAAGTTAGACATGACTACGTGGACTCGCCCAGTGATCCTGATCAAAAATAAATCTGCTGTAAAGGGTTAAAAACAAACTTCCTACCAAAATTAAAAAGTGCTCCACCAGGGTCCAATAACACAGGTATACAGCCAAAAATTTCCACGCCCCATTTCCAATTTTAAACACTTAGATAGCTCAAATTAAGGATCTTAGGATAAATTCTATCCCTGTGAGCCCACCGTCCCACAGATAAAAAGGCCAATCCCGATTTCGGTCTCAACCCGTTTCCAACTGATGATGCGACTTCCCTGACGTCGCCGCTCAGGCTGCTGTTATTCTTCTTTATTTTTTGTTCTATTTTATGAGAGCTCACATAAGAAGGATGTCAACATAATTTAAACATCAAAAAAGTTTCTTTTTGTTTTGCTCGCATTTTATATTTTATGTTATGCTGCGTTTACGGCTTTTGGTTACGTGGACCCTCATTCGCTGTCTCTGTCTCTTGACTCGCTAACGCCCCCTCTCCCTTACATTATACCCTTTCGGTTCCCTTCCATTTTTGGCCACAAATTGGGTGCTTCAGAACGTGTAGGTTCGACTGCACTAAGGAAACCCGAAGAATCAGTTGATCGAACCAATTAGTAATTCCGAATGGTTTGTTCTTAATAATTCTTAACTAATTATTGGATTACTTTGTATAATTAAAATTTTATTTGATTTTCTATCAAGATTAGAAAAACCACTGTGATATATTTGTATGTTTTTTTGTGACTATTAGAATTAATAAAAGGTGTTCTGCTTAACCTTTTATGTCATTTTTACTATTAGAATTAATAGAAGGTGTTCTGCCTAACCTTTTATGTCATTTTAACCTTTTTAGGATATTGAAGTCTCCACAGTTTTCTGATTGTGATCCACATTAACTTAAATTTGCTTTTTGATAGTCCTTTTTTCTCTGTATTTCGAAGATAGCGGCCCAGACACGTAGGCCTGGCCCAAGGAGATGGGGCCTCCGAGTGATGTATGACCGGAAGCGGAAGTGCGCGCACACGACTGCCGCCTACTTTCACGCCCACTTACGCAATTTCACAGTTGGCATATCCGCATGCGAGTGTATGAGTGCGGGTTTATTTACTTTTCGATAATGCCGCCCCCCGAGAGGTCAAACCATATTCACCCAAGAGGACAGAGGCGTCTGGGCTTGATTTTATTATTTTTTTAATCTTATTACATTGCTATATTATTTCATTATTATATGACTGTAATTATGTGCAATCTGCGCACACATATGCAAACATACCGACGCACAAAATTGAATGCAATTTTATCGCTGTTTCGCATGAGTTGGCATTTGGCCTCGAAAAATGCTGAGCGTTCGCACATTTTGGCTTTAATGTGGGCTGACATGGACGTCGCTATAAGGGGGTCTCATCAAACTCAAATAATCAACTGATAATATTATACGTATATTTCTTAATGGGATCTCGCAAGAGGATTTTTAAAAACCACCAAGTAAGTGGTAGCAAACACAAAGTACAAATATTTTTTAGCTTTTATTATTCCAGTTAAAACGGTAGGGGAGTGTAGGGTAATGTGACGAACTCGTCGAATCTCACATATAACATCACGACAAAAATTCCAAATAAATGTAGTTGTCTCCGCTAATCGTGTCGACAATGTATGTACACAGTACATTGTACCGTAATACTAATAAGAAGTCTAAAAAGGTGGTGCGCAAATTAGCAAACCTATTCAATTTATTTGTGTTTCAGCAGTGCCAGAGTGAAGATGTGTTGAAAATAAAATCAAATAAATATATACACGTATAAATAAGATCTTTATCAACAGTGGCGGATCTAGGATTTTGTTGTGGGAGGTGATATCAGAACAAATTTTTTTTTGCATATTTTTTGAATACTAATATTCCTTTCATTTTTTACCCGAGTGGGGGGTGATATATCACAATATATATAACCCTACCCTCCCCTACATTTAATCGTTGAAAAGTATGTATTCCAACAGGGCTTAAAAGAGATTTTCGCAAAAAAAAACTTATAGCTCCATAGGAAGGATCGAATAAAAAACGTAAAAAAGTCTAGCTTCGGTGTTTTTTGAAATATTACCTTCTACTCTTGGGAATATTATTTCATATATATTTCTGAATTTTAAATACAATTTTTAAAAAATCGGGTCACAATATTACATAGCTGCCATATGAACGGTCAGAAAATTAAATTATAAATTCCTTCTTGTTTTTAAATATACAACCAAACTAAATGAAAAATTCGAATTATAAAAAAAGGTTCGAGAGAAACATTCATACATTGTATTTTAAAAAATTATAATACAAACACACAGTAAAAATAAGAGCATTAGTTCATCAAAATTTTCATCTAGGGATAGACATCTTACTTGGGTTTGACTATTTATTCCAATTTATTTTTTTGATTTATAGATTTAGATTTATAATAATGCAAAATAACCGTTTTTATTTAAAAATCATTATGATTTTGATTAACCTTTGTATTTCACAAATAATTCGCTAATTTTATCACATTGCTTTACTGCTAGTTCCCTATAATTTTTCCCTCCCATCGACAATCTACTTTTGTTATTAAATTATCTATATCAAGGACAATTATATTGGGCTTTACAATTAAATGCAAATTTGGCAATTTGGCGCAAACACAAAACCCGAAACCCCGAAAAATCACCCATCCAGAAATGGGGGTGGCAAACTGTAAATAATTAGCCGATAACGGTGTGTAAACAAACGATAGCTTGCAACAATAACGACAAAGTAATAATAATATTTGAAAAAACAGCCGAAACATGTCTATTATTTGTTATCTAAATGCGACAACTGCCTTTGGGGGTAAATGGGTTATGGGCACGGCAACTGGGCGGTCATCAAAAACTGTGAAAGCGGCAGTAATGCCTCCGAAAATATGCAATAAGTGTTTACATTTTTTCATAATTTTTGAGTACTATTATTCGTTAGTAATGACATAATTCTTATGTCTAAATCGCATTTATATACAAAAGAGTCCTCTTCAGCCACAGAGAAGCGACTGCGAAATCACTGAAAATATATCAAATAGTATTGGACCTAAAGCCGCGAGAATGTCATGAACATGCCATATAATTGACAGGCGGCGACTGTTTATGTTTATTTTGCCGATACATTTGATTTTGTTAATTCGGATTCATTTCGATTATTAATTTATTGCTTTTCACGAAATGTTATCTTGCTGCAATTGTAAATTTTTTTCGCAAAGCAAAATGAAGTGATTTAGTGTTTTGCTGGTTTTCCAATTGGTCTTAGCTCCATTCGCAGGTACATTTTAAGTATATTTTCTGGCTGTCGGAAAATGGGGGAGATGTACAATTTTCAAGTTCTAACTGCAGCTTGGCTTCCCTTCGTCGCAGAGCTCGTTCAGATTTTCGGAGAATTGGCTAAATCTCAGCAACACTCGACTTGGAAATTGTACATTACAACTTAATTATTCGGACAACAAAATCAATATCTAAACTAAAACCCACGTTCAATTTAAAGAAACGCGATCCAAGAAGTCTAAGAAAGCGTTTAATCAGCCAAGCGTCTGCTGATCTTTGTGTTACTTGTGTTTGTATTAATAAAAAGAAATAAATGAAATGGTGGGCACAACCCTGAAATTGCGCGGCGATGAGAACGCTTCGGAGAATTTCCGGCAAGTGCAACTGAAGAAATTGACGGAGCCTTTGCAGGAGGTGACAACAAAACGCGCTGCTTTGGGAGATTTGCAAAATCGCGGTCTAAATCGCGCCATTGCTGCAAAAGATGCGGCACAGAAAGACTCCAAGGATCTCAAGCTCACAGATGCCCTGCGCAATGCGAAGGCTCGAGTGGACACCCACTGGAAGAAACAGGCCCAGGGAACCATCACAAATGGCAATACAGCCGCTCCACCCAAGGCCAACGAGGCGGGTGTGTCGGCCTTTTTGCAATCGAATTCGGTGCGCACTCGCGTTCCGGCCAAGACGACTGTAGAACCTGTTAGGATTAAAGTAAAGGCCAGTTCCAACGAGAATGCCAACGAGGACAGTTCTCTGTCCAATAAATCTCTGACCAAGCTTCGTGCTGCCTTGGCCAAACCCGTGAGGGGGGTGACTGTGGCCCGCAAGGAAATACTGGAAGCCAAGAAGGAGGTGACAGAAGCCAAGAAGGAAGCGACCAGGATGCCCCTGATCAAGGCCACGTTTCCAACCACCATGTCCCTTTCCAGCAAACGCTTGGCTGGGATTGAGGACATCGATGCCAACGACAAGGATAACCTGGTTCTGGTCTCCGAATATGCGAACGACATCTACGACTATTTGTACCAGGTGGAGCTGCAGCAGCCCATACACAAGGACCACCTCGCCGGGCAGAAGGAGGTGTCCCACAAGATGCGGGCCGTCCTGATCGACTGGATCAACGAGGTCCACCTGCAGTTCCACCTGGCTGCGGAGACCTTCCAGCTGGCGGTGGCCATCATCGATCGCTATCTGCAAGTGGTTAAGGACACCAAGCGCACCTACTTGCAATTGGTGGGCGTGACGGCTCTCTTCACTGCCACCAAGTACGAGGAGCTCTTCCCGCCGGCCATCGGTGATTTTGTCTTCATCACCGATGACACCTACACGACCCGGCAGATCCGCCAGATGGAGCTGCGGATCTTGAAGGCCATCGACTGCAATCTGTCGCGTCCGTTGCCGATTCACTTCTTGAGGCGGTACTCAAAGGCTGCCGGCGCTGAGGACGAGCACCACGCGATGTCCAAGTACTTTATTGAGCTGGCTACCGTGGAATACGACATGGCCTCCTACAGGCCATCGGAAATTGCGGCTGCTTCGCTGTTCCTTTCGCTGCACTTGCTCAATGGAAACTACCGGGCTGGCACGGGCTTCAACGACCGCCACTGGACGCCCACTCTCACCTACTACTCGCGCTACTCGGCCGCCCACTTGCGTCCCATTACGCGGCAGATTGCCAAGCTGGCCCGGGATGCCCCCCAGGGCAAGCTGAAGGCCATCTACAGCAAATACCAGGGCAGCAAGTTCCAGAGGATTGCGCTCCGAACTGAGCTGACCGGCGCGCTGATTGACTCGATCGTGAGCAGCCTGAGGAAGTAGAGCCGGAGGACCCAGACACAACTAAATTAGTTTAATTTGTTTTCATTTTTTAAATTTGTTGCGTATTCAATATTCTGTTCGTTTCGTGTTCGTTACAAAATGCGTATAATATCCGTATTCGCATAGCTATCTTCACCATCATAAGCAATCACCCCTTACACACATCGTAATCTGCTGGAGTCCCTTGAGAACTTTTCGACCGCTGCCAAGAGCTGGCTCCGGCATCTTTGCACCTGGAGCACAAGTTGAACGCGAGCCGGACGCTAGGAGTGATTTAATCCAGTAAGACCAAGTGTCGGACCAAGTTGGAGCCCGCCTGCTCCACGAACTCCAAGAACTATATTTTATAATCATACACCAATGTTATCCTCTACCTGTATTTGTATTTAGTTTTAGCTTTGATGGGAAACTGTTCGCTCTGTGCATTATGAATAAATCCAAAAAACGTGTGCAAAAATATTTCCGTATCCCAAAAATATAAAGGGGATTAGACTATCTGTAGTTTATGTCATATATACAAAAAAGCACCCCAAGCTAGTTCTATTGTTTTTTAAATTAATGCTTAAAAAAAATTAATAACGGATTTAGTCATCTAATCCCATGTTATAAATTTCTAACTTGATCAATTCAATGTTGAACAAATTATGCTTTAAATTTCAAAGCAACTTTTAAAGATTAGAGAAAGCTGCCGAATATTTTATGAGCGCTTTTTGTCAATGTAGAAACAAAAAATTATTTCAGATCGACTAACCAAAATTTATCATCAGCAAATTTAATCACTTAACTGCAGCAGTAGGTGAAATCAAATCACATATAAATACACTGGGATTTAAATTTAGTAAAAAATCAAATTATTTTTGTTAAGAGGCGCGCAGTTTTAATGCACGTTTTTCAAATTTCAAGCACTAATATTTTCAAACCACGTAATTTTATTAAATACTATCTATACTAATTTATCGCCATTCGTTTCAAAAATTTTCTTCAGTGAAATCGGTTTACAAACACTTAAGGTAAAAGCTGGAATTTCCGGGCACTTTCTTAGATTATTTTTTTCACTCCGTTCTTGCAAAGCAGTGCAATGGCTAAATTTGATTTGAGGAAATTAACAAAGAGCTTGCTGGGAGCGCTGAGTGATTAAATTATTGAATGCAGTCGGCACATTCATTCAGGTTGCATTTATATGCGAGGTGAGTGAGTGAGTGAGTGTATCGATGATGCAAAACATTTCCGTCACAAAACGCTGAAATGACACGTTAAAATGATGCTTAAGTTGATGTTGACTCCTGATGCCTGTCATTTCCCTAGACAGTTCTCAGGGCTTCACTGGGGTGGTGCCTATTCCACAGAGAAAAATACTATACGTATTTATACTTCACTATAATTTACTTATAAATATCTCGGTTGTGTTTACAGTGATGATTTAAAATTCGATATTGGTCAATGAATTCCAATAAAAGCCAATAAAAGGTTGCCATGACTTATTCAAAATTTGACAACATTTAGGAGTAGATATTAAAATCAAAAAAGCGGTTTTATTCGTTTAATAAATCCAATAAAATGTCCTCATGAAAACGCTTTAAACCGAAATTAAAGCATACAATGAACAATAGATTCAAAGAATAGTTAAAATCTGTTTCATCTAAGATTTAATTCTCAGATTTTTTTTTTCCATCAGAGAAAACTTGAAATTTTTGGGGATTTTTAACTTTGGCGTCGAATTCCAAAGAGATGGTAAATGGTTGATAATGGGGACTATTTTTTAGGCATGCCGTGATGCATTGAGAGTAGATTTCAGCGAAAATAATAAACGTTAGTCCAATTGTATAGGCCGCATAATTCGAAATGTCGGCGAACATCGATTTTTTGTATTCTTAGTTATACCGCGGAACATGTAAGTAATGGGACATAAGTTTGGAAATTTTTGGTTGTGTATCTGTGTAACAGATCGGTTGAAATCTGATGTCCGATCCAAAAATAAATGTAAGTGTATGTTTTCTACTAATTTAGAGTTTAGCTATTCTGAAAGTCACCCAGGTTAGGTCATCTTTTTTTTCGGTGTAGCTGGTGGGTGTTTGGACGATGATAGGTGATTGTGTGGGAGTGGTTGCCGTGTCATTGACTCGTATGGCGATGTCCCCAAGTCGCTGGCATGGCAAATATGTGTGTCAACTGGCAGTCGATGCCACAAATGCATTTTCCTTTTTACCGTTTCCCGGTCCCTTTGTGTCCCAGTCTCTGTTTCTGTCTCTATACGCCTGCCTGCGTTCACATTTGTTTTTCCCAGCCAGCTCTGTCTGTGTGTCTGTGCAAAATTCCTTGCATAATTTCGCCAAAGCATCGCCATTCGCCATCGAAGCTAAATGGGCGGCAAAGTGTGCAGCTTGTTCGGCAGCAAAATGCTAGCAATTTAAGGGCAACTTCGACGAGAGTCACTCTGCACGTCAGGAAGCGTCTTTGGTTGCTCTGGCCACTTTTAGCCAGTTCAAGTACTTTGCCTGCTTTTCCACAACAATTTTCACCAATAAGTGTGTGCCACACACATGTGCCCCCATAAGTATGCTTACTTGTTATGCCCTAACTTGAGGGAATATTCATTCATATCAAAGAAATACCTAGTTTTCTATTTTTTTAAGTGAATAATATTTGAAACGATATATTATTATCTACATTTTCATTGTTTAGCTTTGATTTTAGTGTAATTTTTACGTTTTTGGCTAAGAATTACACTTTTCCATATTACTATGCCAATGAGAACGCTTCACGACTTCTGTAAGAATATCAAATGTAGAGTATTCGCATTTTGGTGCGTGCAGAACGATCTGCACTTCATGTCTTATTACTATGTTTTTTAGCTTTTTACATAAAATGCGCCTGGTCGGCGCCTTGGCAAATGACAGTAAGTGGTTCAAATGTGTTGTTGGGCCAAAAATGCTAACAAGAAAACTATTATCCGAAAGCCAAAGGAAATGCGGAAGTGATTTTTGAGGCCCTGCACGTTTCTTTGAGATTTTCCTTAGATTGCTGTGCTTTCCTTACCATTTTTCCATCTTCTCCCCTTGGATTGTTCCCCGTCGATTGTTTTATTTGTTCCTAATGCTTTTTTTTTTCCATATAATGACGTTGCCCGCGCCTCATTTGCAGCTGTCTCTGCCACTTTTCAATGCATTTTCATTTATTATTCAAATTGACGTTTCTCTTGCTTACTTCTCCGGATCTTACCAGCTGACGCCGAGTGGCTATGGGATAACAAAAATATTTGGCCAAGTAGTTTTCCCGTCTTCGATAGCGCTGCGTTTTTTCCCAAACTAATTTGACATTGAAATTATGTGAGAAATCACTATGGACGGCAGTCCATGTAGTGACGAAGCGCACCAGGAGAGTGTGCGAAGGCGACTACTATTATATAGCCGCAAAATTGAAAATCTGCTGTGATAGTCCGATCGTAATGAGTAATACACCAATCGAAAGGTATTGCAAAAACTTAAAGGATTGCATACCAAGACTTTAAGAAAATCAATTGGCTTGGGAGAGAGAGCGGTGAAAGTGAAAAAGTGAAAATTTCGAAATTTGGAGCTGTTGGGGCCGGTGGGGATAAATGCCCCCTCGCAATGTTTTAGTTGTATTCCTTTTGAAAATACCCGTCGAATGAGGGGTCATTTGTCAAAATCCGACGCTCCGTTCCAAAGTTATAGCCAAAATAAGATTTTCTTCTTCTTCCCAAAATGAAAATTTAATTCTGTTTGTCAGTTTGTCAGTTTGTCAGTTTGTCCAAAACATGTTTTTTAAGTTTTGAAAATTTGATATGACGTTCATCACATCGATATAAAAAACTTTTGTTCTACCACTTTTGGAAAAACCAGCTAGTTTAGCGGGAAAACAGCTATAAATAGCTAAAATTCGGAAAGCCGTAACTTCTATACTACTAAAGCTACAGACTTGTGCTGCATCTCGTTTGAAAGGTATTTTTAAATGCTATAAACACCTTTTATATGCAATTTGTGTAAATGTAATAGTTAAAAAGATATGAACAAAAGACAATTTTTGAAAACTTTTTTTTTAGCTTTTTTTTATTTTTCTCAAAAACGGCTCTAACGATTTTCTTGAAAACGTTAAACTGTATAGCCCTTGAGATTCCTAAAATTTTGGTATGTAACACATTACTGTAAAAAGTCACGTTTAAAAGTTATTTTTATACGAAAATAGCCACTTTTGCCAGCTCGAACAACTAAAGCTTCCTGAGTATTGAATTTTGTGTGAGGGTATCCGAACTGTATTTTAGGGTCATGGAATCAGTAAATTTGCACTTAAGAGTTCCATATAGGAATCTTTTGTTCTACGACTTTTGGAAAAAGCCGCTACTTTAGCGGGAAAAAAGCTAAAAATGGCTAAATTTCGTTAGTTTGTAAGTTCTACACTACTAAAGGTACAGACATGTGCCATACCTCGTTTAAAAGGTATTTTGAAATACTTTTTAACTTAATTTGTTTAAATACAATGGCTTACAAATTATGATTGACCAATTTAAATTTAAATGTATATATTAGCTCCTATGAGAGCAAGTGTAAACAAACAAAAACTTCTGATATCAAATAAAAACACCTCTTAACGAGGTAAAAAACTAGTGACGATCGCACCTTCAACATACAAAAGTTCTGATATCAACATTTGTGACGAAAAATTATTACACTCATCATTAAATAGACTTTCTAATATTTTTTCATTCGGCACGCTGCAATAGAAAATGCCTGTGAAGGGAAAAAGGCTGGAATAGTCTGCTAGGGCGGGCCGAATGAGAAAATATTAGAAAGTCTATTTAATGACGAGTGTAATAATTTTTCGTCACAAATGTTGATATCAGAACTTTTGTATGTTGAAGGTGCGATCGTCACTAGTTTTTTACCTCGTTAAGAGGTGTTTTTATTTGATATAAAGTAGGTGCATATTTTTTCGCTCTGTTTCGCGTTTCAAGCAAGCAAATTATGATAAAAGGATCCTTATAA